CAAGCACATAAATAGTCAGCCCTGCCGAGATGGCTGGGCATGCACGGGCACAGAATTTCTGTTCTCTGCAATTTCAAGCCCATGGGGAAGAAAAAAATCCACAAATCTCTCTCCTAAAAGTGAGACTCTGAGCTCTACCACAGCCGTATGAAATGTTGTTTTGCATTTTGTCCTAAGTACAATAATATAATTATACTGCACCCTAAGGCAATAACTTCATTTCTGCATTTTTAAATTTCTTCACATTTCTGTTACACTGTTCTCAAGGTCACCCGGTTTCTCTTGTATGCTACACCAGACTGATGAGGATTCTCAGCTCTGCACCATTAGCATATTCCTACTTTTTGTGCCAAGGATAATAATGAAAAATATTAAATATGGCCTTTCCCAGAACATACATCATCCTGTGAGGATGTTTCAACAAAGATCATCTAGTCTAAAATGACTTTGTTTTCTAGTGACTGCATTATTAGATCAAAATACCCCTCATTTTTAAACACAAGGATCTCCTTTAGGTGTGCTGTGAAGAAGCAGCATCCATGCTGTCAGGAACACAGGCAGATAGCATCATCACAGGGCCAAGACATGGATTTTACTGCTCTCTTGTCACTAACACTCTAATTCCATGCAACAATACAGTTTCCCTCCCTCCTCCACTCCTACCTCCACCAGCAGCAGAATAACTCGGGAAAGGAAGCCCATGTGGAGAGCTGCTCTGAGCTCCCACTCCCCCAGTCACTCTGGTTTTACATGGGCTTCACAGCTGCACTTTGCAATAAAGTACAATACACTGGGGAATGCTTTCGTGTACTGTGCATCTGACTTCCCTGTAGCCATAAAATGAGACAGAAAGCACATATGTTTACACCCAATAAAACTAAACCAAAAAGTATTCTTACTCGTGGTTTATTTTCGTTTAGTCCACAGCCTCTCAGACATTTTCAGCTGCACAGAAGCTCCATGGCTGTATGCATGACAAAAACAAGTACCAGAAGGTTAAACAGAACTTGTCTGAGGTTATTTGTACTGTAGCATTTCATACTGGTCTACATCCTGCAATACTCCTTTCCGAGGATGCTGGAATGCCTCAGTCCCAGCCGAATTTGGTGTTAATTTCAGTTTTGTTTCTATGTCATTTGTAGGAAACGTTACTCATGTCACGAGCAAATCAAAACGCTCATTAACTTTAAACGGCGGAAACTCGTCCCCTGCCCCCGCCTGGAACCTCGCCCGGCGCGTCCGTCAGTGCCGCGGGTCTCCCCCGCCACGGCCCGACTCTGGCACCACGCAGGGGCAGCGCCGCGGCCCCTCCGCCCCGTCTCACCGCTGCCACGGCACACCCAGGACGGGGAACAGCGGCGGGACCGGGCACGGCCGGCGAGCGAGATGGAACCGGGCAGTTCGGGGGCAGCGAGATGGAGCCGGGCAGTTCGGGGGCAGCGAGATGGAGCCGGGCAGTTCGGGGGCAGCGAGATGGAGCCGGGCAGTTCGGGGGCAGCGAGATGGAGCCGGGCAGTTCGGGGCAGCGAGATGGAGCCGGGCAGTTCGGGGGCAGCGAGATGGAGCCGGGCAGTTCGGGGGCAGCGAGATGGAGCCGGGCAGTTCGGGGGCAGCGCACCGCGGACGAACCGCGCTGCGCACCGGGCCCCGCCAGGGGGCGCCGCCGGGGAGCGGCGGCGGGCGAGGCCGGGCCGGGCCGGAGGGCGCGGGGGGCGGCGGGGCCCGGCCCGGCCCGTGGCCGGCGCTGCCCGCGGCTCGGCCCTGTTCTGCTCCGCCGAAATGAGCCTCCCGAAAGCAGCGACCCGAACTGCCCTGACGGGGCTGCAGCGCTGCCGCACTGAGCCGGGAGAGCGCCCGCACCGGCCCTCGCAAACGCCTCGGGCTGGTTTATGTCCGCTCGAGAAACTCCTCTGCCAAGGCGGGCTCGGCAGCACCGGGGACAGCGAGCGCTCCGGCACCCGCTGAGCCGCTGCCTCCTGGGGACGGGAGCCCCGGCTTATTTTACCGAGGGCACCTCTCCGCTGCGAGAGCAGCGCCTGCGGGGCGCGGCTCCGGCGGCGCCAGGGCTCGCGTAGCGGACGGTGCCGTGGCCCCGGAGGCTGCCCGGAGGCTGCCCGGCCGCTGCGACGTCCCCGAGGGTCACGGGCTCTGCCGCCAGAACGGGGATTGCTTAAGGGTTAGGGAGTGCTTGGAACCGGAGCAGCCTGGCAGCGCCTGGGACCCGGCAGCATCGGGGAGAGGGAGCAGCGGGGCGGGAGGTGACTGCCGGGGGCGCGGAGCCGGAGATACCGGGCGATGCCTGCCCGCGGCTTCCTCCTTCGGTGCCACACCGCATGGGAAGACCAGATACAAAAGCAGATTTATCACGCCGGGAGGCCTGCAGAGATAAACCCCACATATTTCCACTTGGAAAAAAGTGGTATGAAATTTCGCGAAAGTCAATGAACGGGACAAATGCAAGAAGCGTCACTGATGACAGATACAAATTGCCAACTGACCTCCGAGCGCGCCTTTAGACGGGGCGGGAGGCTTTGGCTCTGCCCCCGGGACCAGCACGCCGAGCGGACCGGGGTCCCGGGGCTGCGGCCCCCGCAGGGCCACCGGCCGCCGAGGTCCAGAGGCCGCCGGGGTTGACGCGCGTCGGGTGTCTGCGCGCTCCCGGCTGCGGCCAAAGCTGAGAAACCTCCTGCGGGAGCGGGGCGGCGGCGACACACAGACACAGGCACTTTCGGGTGTCCCAGGGGAGCAGGAGGCAGGCGGGCACTGCGCTCCGCCACCTCCCTCCTCTACCGGCGGCGAGCAAGCCCGTCGGGGCGGCCGGGGGTCGATGTCGCCCGGCCGCAGCACGGACGGCGGAGGCCGCGCTCTTACCTTGTTCCATCGGTCCCGCCAAGGCAGCGGCGTCCCTACTTGGCCCCTCCTCGGTGAGCAGCTGCCGGCTGTCTGGATCAGCGCCCGGCCCTCGCCCGGGCGGGGGTGGAGGCGTCCCTCCCGTGAGCCGAGCCGAGCCGAGCCGGTCAGCGCTGCGGGGCCCCCATTCAAGGCGCCACACCTGCGGGCTCGGCGGGCGGAGGCGCCGCTGGCCCGAAGCACCGCACGGGTGCGGGCAGGGCGGCTGGACGCGGGCGAACCCGGCGGTCTGTGCGGGCAGGCGGAGACCGAGCCGAGCCGCGGGCTGGCGGCGCGCCGGCCCCTGCCCGCTCGGGAGGGGCTGTCACCAGTCTCCGGGAGGGCCCGGGGCCCTCCGGGAGGGCCAGTCAGCCCCGCCGGGGCCGCCTCCAGCAGCTTCCAACGGCGCCGTGAGCCGGAGCCGCGCCGGGGGCGGAGGGAGCAGGTGGCATCGCCACCCCCTTCCCAACGCACGCAGGCGGCGCGGAAACGAGCCTGGACACAGCTAATGGGGCTCTACCGGGAACCCGATACACTGTGACTGCTCCCTGCGCTGCCGCTGTTTGCAACAGACGGAGGGAAAAACAATGAAGTCGTTTATCAAACCTTCTTTAGCGCAGCGTCGTTTTTAATCTCACGTTTGTACGCCAAGTTATTTACAAAGATGCGCAAAACAAGACGCACGGACTGTTACATCCCGTAATTCCAGCGGCTGAAAACAAAGACCATTGACTGAGCCCGAATAATTACTTCCCAAACTTACACTGACATTATGGTTACAGGTTAAACGAAACCCTGTTCACCTGTAAACGATTCTGATGACAGACATAACCACATCCAAAGGACCACGCGTTTGAATAATTGTTCTGATATGATCAAGTCCAGTCTTGTTTACTTTGTGAACATTTGGAAAAGTTTTAACTCCCCGGTTGTTGGTGTTTTCCTTGGTTAACAACGCATCAGACTTGTAGGAGAAAGCAGTTTTAAGGCGGAGAACGTGCTATAAGCCCCGTTTCCAGAATTATTTTCTATAAAACTCTCAAATCCGAATTCTTCTTTTCTTGACAATTAATCATGCTTTCGATTACGAATATCTGTGGTCATTTTATTCGCGCGAACGAGCTTCGTTCCGCTATGATGTAACAGCAGTTTTTCTTCCTTTAAAAACCTTCGTCGCGTCTCGGAGTGAGGGAGGGAAGCCCTCTCCGAGGCCAGTGGGTTTCAGAACAGGCAACAAAGTTGAACAAACCAATTATTCCCAGGGCATAAGACCATTTCTTAGGACCGCTTTAAACGTGGACTCTTAGGCGAGGGAACGGCCGCCCCGCACCTGACGACGGAGCCGATTACGCGACAGAACAGCGATCGAGCCGGGCATTCCCGCGCAGCGCCTCCCGCCCAGTGCCGCGGGGCAGCGCAGCCGCCGGCCCCCGCCCCGAGCGGCGCTCGGCTGGCCCCGCGGCCGCTGCCCGGAGCCGCTCGGTGCTCAGAGCCGGGTGCCGCCGCCCGGTGCCGCGGGGCCGGGGGTCTCCCCGGGGTCCCCTCGGGGGTCCCGTCGGGCGCGGCCCCGCCACGTGCGGCCCCGCGCGCTCGCCCGGCCCGGCCGTGACGTGTCTGGGTGGGGGCGCGCGCCGCCCTCCGATTGGGCGGTGGCGGCGGCGCGGGGCGGCGGCCGCCCAATGGGCGCGGGGCGCGCAGGTGCCCGCGCGGTTATCTGCGCGCGGGGAGGGCGCGGAGCGTGCCCGCCGCCGCCGGACACGCGGCCGGGGCCACGCGCGGAGCCGCCGGTCCCGCACCCCCTCCCGCCGGATCGCGCGCGGAGCGCAGGGCCCACAGCCCGCCGGGACGCGCCGCCGCGGGGGCTCTTCCTCCCGGGACTCCCGCGGTGCCTCTACTCGGCTTTCGCCGCTTTCCAGCCTGGACGTTGGCGGCGCGCGCCGGCCAGCCGCGGCCGGGGAAGCGCCGGAGTTTTCCTGCTCCCAGCAAACTTCGGTACTTGCTGAGATCCTGCGAGCGGCGAGGAGCCCGTCCCGCCCGCGGCCACGCTCCCGCGGCGCGGGGCTCCAGCGGAGCGGCCGCGGCGCGGTTGGGAGGGAGCCGCGCTCGCTGATGCCCGCAGATGTTAGCGGTGGGGCAGATGGATGCTAATCGCCAGAGTGCGTTCGTCCTCAGCAGTGCGCCGCTGGCCGCGCTGCACAACATGGCCGAGATGAAGACCTCCCTCTTCCCCTACGCCCTGCAGAACCCCTCCGGCTTCAAGGCGCCGGCCCTGGGCGGACTCAACACGCAGCTCCCCTTGGGGACACCGCACGGAATAAGCGACATCCTGGGGCGGCCCGTGGGCAGCGCCAGCAACCTGCTGGGTGGGCTGCCCCGCATCAACGGGCTGGCGGCCTCGGCCGGGATGTACTTCAGCCCCGCCGCCGTCTCCCGCTACCCGAAACCCCTGGCGGAGCTGCCGGGGCGGCCGCCCATTTTCTGGCCGGGAGTGGTGCAAGGCTCTCCCTGGAGAGACCCCCGGCTCGCCTGTCCCGGTAAGTGCAGCCGGTTCTGTCGGGGTGCGGGGAGCGGGTAGCCTGGGGTGCGGAGCCGGGGCGGCCCCAAGCCGCGGGCGGGCGGGCGCGGTGGACGGGGCGGGCGGCCCAGCGAGGCAGCGGGCGCGGCGCTCGGCAGGAAGGCCCGGTGCCGGTCGCTCGGCCCCCGCGGCTCCCGGCGTGTCCCGCACCGAGCCCCGCTCTAGGGCTGGCGGACACCCGAAGCGGCCGCTCCTCTGCAGCGCCAGGCGGGGCCCGGTTCTGGGCCGGGAGCGGTGCAGAGCCCGTCCCTGACGCAGCTCTTTCTCCTTCGGTTTTAGCTCAGACAGGGATGGTTTTGGACAAGGACGGCAAGAAGAAACACTCTCGACCGACTTTCTCTGGGCAGCAGATATTTGCATTAGAGAAAACCTTCGAACAGACGAAATACTTGGCAGGACCGGAGCGCGCTCGGCTCGCCTACTCCCTGGGGATGACCGAGAGCCAGGTGAAGGTAGGTCCGTCCCGCGGACTCCCGCCTCTCCCGCGGACTCCCCCCTTTCCCGCTCCCTGCCGCGGCCGCTTTCTGCTGTCTCGGTAATTGCCAGTGACCACGAACACTACGCAACAGTACAGGGATTTTTTTAAAGTCCTTTAGAATTTAAATTATATTTCGGTAGCGGATAGATTTTAGGCCAATTTTTAGAGCTCTCTTTGCTGCAAACGATTTAATGTAGACAGACATAATATATTTTAAAAAGCTCACCCCAACAACAACCAAAAAAAAAAGCCCTTTGCAGGTAATTGCTTTCGACAGGTCACTTTTCCAGGAGGATCGTGTCCACTGGCACAACTTTACCTTATGTAACCCCGCAAATTTTTTAGCAAAGCCTGCATGCACATCTGAGCGTTGGGGTGCATCGGGAGCCAAAAATAGTTATTTTTCTGCCCATCGTATCCTGTTTCCAAATTAACAACTGCTCTGCAAAGCTGCTGCTTTTACCGCCGCACAGTTCCGCCTGGCGACGGCCCCGCAGAGCTGGACAGGTGTCCCCAGCGGGGCGTCCCCTCCCCGGAGCTGCTCGGGGCCCCGCTACCCCCTGCCCAGTGCGGGCCCGCGCTGCGGGACGGGACGGGACGGGACAGAACGGGACGGCCGCGGGCGGGGGCGGGCGGGGCCGAGGCCGTTCCTAAGCCGTGCCCGCTGCCGGTGCCCAGGTGTGGTTCCAGAACAGACGGACCAAGTGGCGGAAGAGACACGCGGCGGAGATGGCCTCGGCGAAGAAGAAGCACGACTCGGAGACGGAGAAGCTGAAGGAGAGCTCGGACAATGAGGACGATGACGAATACAACAAGCCCCTGGACCCCAACTCAGATGACGAAAAAATCACAAGGCTATTGAAAAAGCACAAATCCACAAACCTGTCCCTTGTCAGCCCCTGCAGCACCAGCTCGGACACCTTGTGAGGGCAGGAGGCCGATGGCCGCGATGGGGCGAGTGTAGCTGGGTGTTTGAAGTGGTGTGTTGTACAGCCTGAGATGTATGTGAAATGTATATATATTTTTTACAGAATAAGTTATGAAATTATTTTCTTTCTCATCGATGTAAATTTCAGAGAAATTTTTCCGACTTTTTGGGTTTTATTTGTGTCCCTTTAAGATTCTTGCTCTTTCCTTTAGCCTTCCTGCTGGTCTCCTGCACCTAACAATCAGGTTTTGTTACGTTTTCTATGGGTCTTCAAATCCAAGCTCAGCCACGTTGTATATAGTAAATTTCAGATTTCGTGATGTATATTTCTAGTGTAAAAACGGCAGTTTTCTTTCACTCCTTGTCCCTCAGTGTTTTGGCGGTTTCATTTCTCCTGCCTCCGGATTTTATGCTTAATAATACCAAAAACCAAAACAACGCCCAAAAAAAAAGCACGAGAGAAAAATGGACACTTGATTTTACATTGGGATCAAATAATGTCTCCACACGTGTTGGAAAGACTTTGTATAAATCAATAAATTATTTAACAAGCTTCTTTTTTAGCGAGTTTCTTCCCGCATTTCTCGTTGTCAGTCCTGGCCCTGCTGCTCTTGGGCGCCCGGGGACCGCGACGCTCCTGTAGGGTGCCCATAGCCCCCGGGCCGGGCGCTGCTCCGCGGGGGAAAAGGAGCTGCTGCGGTCGGGCTGGCGGGCTGAGCCGGGAGCGCCCTGGGCCCGCTGGCCACTGCCGGGGGCCGTGGTCGCTGCCACACGGGAACCCGCCCCGGAGAGGAGAGACCCGCGGCTGAAAGTGCAGCCCGAACCTGCCGGGAGCGCCGGTCCCTGGGTCCCAGAGCGTGGCGGCGGGCGGGGGATGGGGTCTGCTCCGGGGAGGAGAGGTAGAGGCCGGGACACGTCCCTCGGTGCTGCCCGGGTACCGGCCGCTGCAAAGACCCGAACTCGTTGAGATCCGCGGCGGAGGCCTGTGAGCTCCTCTGCCCTCCCGCCGCTTCCCGCCGGGATCCCGGGACGTGCCCGTGGGCCCCGGTCCAGCACCTCCGGGCGCGCCCGTGCCCGAACCGGCCACCGAGGCTCCGCGTTTGTCCCCTCTGCACACGCGAGGCCCGCTGGGCCTGAGCCGCCCGCGCCGTCAAGGTGCTTTTTTTTTTTGTCTGTGAACGAGACGTTCTTTTCTTCCCGTGTCTCAGCTACGGCTTTGCGGTCCGAGCAAAGGCAGCGGCCGCACCGCGGGCGGCCCCGCTGCCCCTGCCCGGCAACCAGCGCAGGGACGCGGACCCCGGCGCGGCGGGAGGGGGCCGTGACGGCTCCCCGGGCAGTTACGGGGCCCGGTCCCGCATCTGCCTTCCGGGGCCCGGTCCCGCATCTGCCTTCCGCACAGCGGAGGGACGCGGCTCGGCCGCCCCTGTCCGCGCTCCCGAGGATGTGCCATCAGCCCCCGCGCAGATGCCGCGCACGTCGAGGCACGACACGGGCCCGCGTCGGTGGGAAGGGGCTCGGAGCGGCGGGGCCTGGCCCGGTCCCCGCTCCGGCGCTGTTCGGGCGCCGCCGCTGGCGCTCCGCGCCCCTCCGGGCGGGCGTCGGGGCCTCCCCCGCGGAGCACCTCCGGTCCCGGTGCCGCCGCTCGCTGTGATTGATTCCCGTCCGCTCCTGCCGGGGCAGCTCCCGGGGAGGGCGGGGGGTCCCGCAGGTCCCTACGCAGTGACCGCGGCCGCGCTCGGTTGTTCCGCGCTTACGGAGGGAGTGAATCGAGTTTAGTGATTAATCTTCGCCCGGCTGTAAGCACGCTGAGCCCGGGCGCTGGGACCGGGCTCCTGAGGGGAAATGGCTGGATAAAAACACCTGCGTTGGAGCCCAATCCTTCCCACCTGCCCCTTCCCGCAGTTGTTGAACGAAACCGGCTCGGTGGTGGCCCCGCGTTACGGGACAAGGCGGCTCCGCTGGACCAGCAGCCCGGAGACGTGGCCCATCGGCAGCGCCCGGCGAGGGGACTCAGCAGGACCCGGCCCGGGCCAGAGCCAGAGCCCGACGCTTCTCGGCCCTCCCGGGGCTGCAGCGGCGTGTCCGCCGGGATCGGCCCGGCCCGGATCCCCACGAGCCCCGGATACACCTCCGGGGCTGTTTAAATGCGAAAGCTGCGTTTCGAAACCGCAAGAGGTTCCGTTCGGGGCGCTCTCAGCAGCTCCTGCGCCCCCGGAGGGGTTCGGGCCCCGGACGGCCCCGCGGCTCCCGGCTCCGGCCAGTTCATCTGCACACGAGGCTTCGGTCCCAGCTGGAAAAGGCTGCGGAGTTTTTTTCTGAAACTTGAGGTAATCACGAAGGAGTTTATGGTGGCACATTTCCTGACCTGCTGGGGACTGGCATCTCGTGAACAGCTCGTGAAGCTGCATCCCCTCCGTACGTCAGCGCTCCCACAGCAGATCCTCAGTGCCTTTCCCTCGGTTTGTATTGTGATTCGATTAACACCAGAACTGCATCCTATCATACAGGTTTTCATGTGAAAAATAACCTTGTTAATTGGCAGGAGATTAACAGGTATCTCACTAATAAGAAATGTGACAATTTAATAATTTCCCTGTAATCCCCAATGCCCAAATTAAAGGGGCAGACACAGCCGTGTTCACCATGATTAGTTTTATTGCTTGAGAACCAGAGTACTCATTTCTAAAGGCCTTCAAAGTTATCATGAGTTGAGTTTGCTTAAATAGAATTACTGTGTGGTTATAATGCAACATGGCACAATAACAATACAGAGCTGCAGACACCCTTTGGGCAACGATACTTGATATAAACCGGGTTGTACTGTTGAGAAAACACTCTGCAAGCGGACATCAAATCATTTTCAGTGGTAGTGATTTATACCAAAATCAAGCATCAATCTAATGCCATCACGCAGTCCATGAACTCTGTAGTGTTCTAAATTAAATCAATAAAACATACATTTGTGTTTCATCAACAGACTCCCTAATCACCTTTTAATGTTGTATTTAGTGGTGGGAGAAAAATGTCTGTAACAAGACTATATTGTAGGCTGCACTGAGCTACTAACCAGGAAAATTTACAGTTGGGTTGTTGGTTTTTTTTTCCTTTAACACTGTATAAATACAGTCTGTGTCCAATATAGTTGCTACTTGAAGCAGACTATATTTTTCTTCTCCCATGTTGTTATTGTTTCAATATAGAATACTTGGCACCAAAAAACAGTAACAAAAGACGGACAAAAACAGTTTACAAAATTCTGGAAAGTTACACCCAAACCTAGCTAAGAACTTCACATTCAATCCTTAATATTACATAGAAAGAAGGGATTATAGGAGTAACAAAGTGAAACTGCTAATATATGTGCTATATAGTATGCTATATATCTGTATCCAGGATGGCATTGCTATATATTATTTATTATATAAATGTTGGTTGTCAATGTACACTTAACTAAACCTGCTAAGACTCCAACACTAACTGCTGATATGGCACTCTCAAGCATTCATATTGGAAAGTATATTTAGCGTAAGTTTGGTCAGGTTTATAAATTATTTATATATCTGTGTATATATACACATACATACATATATATATACACACACATATATATGTATGTATAGAAAGCAGCTGCTGTGTGATTCAAAAACCATGTAACATGGCAGTATAGTAAATAAAATGAGAAAAAATTATAAAAATGAAAAACAAAATACTAAAACTAAAACACAAACCATAAGCCTTGGTCAACAAAGAAAATACCATTTAAAACCATCAATATCTCTATCTATACAATCCAATGTACAAAACCCCAAAGTGGTAAAGATATATAATGTTAGGCATGATACCTTTAAAAGTTTATAATATGCTGAAATAGCTTTTCCACATTGACAAACACTTATTAAAAGTTGAAAGTCGTGAAATCTAAAATACATAACGTCTCTGCTGTCTATTTAGAGTTTTGGCAACAGAACTGTGACATATATATAAAAAATAATTCCACATTTCTACTTGATGTCACATGAACATACAAGACAGTGAGGTATGTGAGGCTTCTCTCGAACAGAGTCCAGATGCTGAAGCATAGTGTACGATCAGCAGTCTAAAAATGTGGCACTCGGGACTGGATTGATCAATACAGCTGTTGGGATTATGGATTTCGGGTGCTGCCTTCCCTCCTACAGGGTGGTTTCACGGAAAATCTTCTCACTTCGTAGGCATCTTTTTCCTGTTGCAGAATTGGCATTTTTTTAAAAAGAAAGATAAACACAGGGGAAATGATGTAGAAAATATAAACGTAAAGGAAAAAGATGATATTTACCACCACATCACTGCACGACACAACACTTGTGCACATTTGCAATAGGTTTACCTGCCCCAGCAGCTATTCGAAAGGACAGGAACACAGGCTGCAGCAAGTTAGGGAAAAATAGAAGTTACACGTTTGAAATAGACACTTTTTTTTTTTTTTCACAGTCAGTAGCAAACACAACAAAATGGTGCAATAAGTTTTTGAATTAATCTAGCTACAAAATGCACAAGGGAATTACATAATCTCCTCACAGATTTCTGCTCCCACTGAAATCTAAGGGACAATTTTCCACTGATTTCTGTGGGAAGAGAATCAGGTCCCACACACGTCTCCCTTCTGTCACAGAATCAGCTCCACTGGAAGTGCCATGCCACTTTGGTGACAAAGGAAACAAAAACTGCTGTTTCTGGACTGGCTGTCCCGGTGCTGACACACTGAACTTTTCATTTACTGGGTAAGTTAGTAAAGTTCTGTATTTTAAAACCTGATTGGGCTGATTCTGGACCAATGCCTTAAGTGCATTCTTCCTTAGAAGACAATGCTCTGTCTCACAAGAACTCTGCCCATGGAAGTAAAGAGGGGTATGTATTTGTGAGTCTGCATTTATGTGTGCACACACACGTGTAATTACCCACTATCCCTCTCTGCATTATCATTCAGGAGCCTCAGTGCTGATTTTAGATGGGCTTTCAGAGGTTTCCTCCTACTCCTCAACTGGCTTTTTTCTAAGAAAGTAAATACTCTGTTTTGAGGTATTTCTAACTTAGCTTTCCATCCGGTATTTTCAGCAGAGAAGATTGTAAATTTCAGGTATTTTTATTATTTTTAACATCAGGTATTTATGTAATTTTATGTCCTTTTCCTATATTCTTTTTATCAGTTGCTGTTTGAATATGGAACTACCAATATGTTCTTTTTCTAATAAGCACCTAGGCACCAACCTAATTGAAGCTAAGGTTTAGAAGCATCTCTGATAACCCAATGAAATTACTTTTGTTTTAGAACAGTTTTAAGTGCACAGATGGCTCTTCTTTGCTTGCACCGTATCCTGCTTTCATTCCTAGTGCCCATAATCCTGTTCTTTATTTGATTTCCATACAAGCAGCTACTCTGATAAACTGGTTGATTTCAGTTGAATTCAACTTTGAAACATTTTCAAGGCATTACTTTAAAAACAGGGCAGAGATATAACCTATTTAAAATTAACAGAACCTAATGCATACATTCTCCTTCCTAA